TCTCCTCTCATTCTGTATGGATGGACTCTGCACAGTCCCACTTCTCCTGTCCCGGATGCCGGGTGTCTGGTCTCATCGGTATCTCCTCTCATTCTGTATGGATGGACTCTGCACAGTCCCACTTCTCCTGTCCCGGATGCCGGGTCTCATTCTCGGTATCTCCTCTCATTCGTATGATGGGACTCTGCACAGTCCCACTTCTCCTGTCCCGGATGCCGGGTGTCATTCTCGGTATCTCCTCTATTCTGTATGGATGGACTCTGCACAGTCCCACTTCTCCTGTCCCGGATGCCGGATGTCATTCTCGGTATCTCCTCTCATTCTGTATGGATGGACTCTGCACAGTCCCACTTCTCCTGTCCCGGATGCCGGGTGTCATTCTCGGTATCTCCTCTCATTCTGTATGAGGGACTCTGCACAGTCCCACTTCTCCTGTCCCAGATGCCAGGTGTCATTCTCGGTATCTGTCCTTATGCTGTATGGGGACTCTGCACAGTCCCACTTCCCTGTCCCGGATGCCGGGTCTCTTCTTTATCGGTATCTGTACGGAGGGACTCTGCACAGTCCCACTTCTCCTGTCCCGGATGCCGGGGTCTCATTCTCGGTATCTGTACGGAGGGACTCTGCACGTCCCACCTCTCCTGTCCCGGATGCCGGGTGTCATTCTCGGTATCTGTACGGAGGGACTCTGCACAGTCCCACTCTCCTGTCCCGGATGCCGGGTCTCATTCTCGGTATCTGTACGGAGGGACTCTGCACAGTCCCACTTCCCCTGTCCCGGATGCCGGGTGTCATTCTTGGTATCTGTACGGAGGGACTCTGCACAGTCCCACTTCCCCTGTCCCGGATGCCGGGTGTCATTCTCGGTATCTGTACGGAGGGACTCTGCACAGTCCCACTTCCCCTGTCCCGGATGCCGGGTGTCATTCTTGGTATCTGTACGGAGGGACTCTGCTCAGTCCCACTTCCCCTGTCCCGGATGCCGGGTGTCATTCTTGGTATCTGTACGGAGGGACTCTGCACAGTCCCACTTCCCCTGTCCCGGATGCCGGGTGTCATTCTTGGTATCTGTACGGAGGGACTCTGCACAGTCCCACTTCCCCTGTCCCGGATGCCGGGTGTCATTCTTGGTATCTGTACGGAGGGACTCTGCTCAGTCCCACTTCCCCTGTCCCGGATGCCGGGTGTCATTCTTGGTATCTGTACGGAGGGACTCTGCACAGTCCCACTTCCCCTGTCCCGGATGCCGGGTGTCATTCTTGGTATCTGTACGGAGGGACTCTGCTCAGTCCCACTTCCCCTGTCCCGGATGCCGGGTGTCATTCTTGGTATCTGTACGGAGGGACTCTGCACAGTCCCACTTCCCCTGTCCCGGATGCCGGGTGTCATTCTTGGTATCTGTACGGAGGGACTCTGCACAGTCCCACTTCCCCTGTCCCGGATGCCGGGTGTCATTCTTGGTATCTGTACGGAGGGACTCTGCTCAGTCCCACTTCCCCTGTCCCGGATGCCGGGTGTCATTCTTGGTATCTGTACGGAGGGACTCTGCACAGTCCCACTTCCCCTGTCCCGGATGCCGGGTGTCATTCTTGGTATCTGTACGGAGGGACTCTGCTCAGTCCCACTTCCCCTGTCCCGGATGCCGGGTGTCATTCTTGGTATCTGTACGGAGGGACTCTGCACAGTCCCACTTCCCCTGTCCCGGATGCCGGGTGTCATTCTTGGTATCTGTACGGAGGGACTCTGCACAGTCCCACTTCCCCTGTCCCGGATGCCGGGTGTCATTCTTGGTATCTGTACGGAGGGACTCTGCACAGTCCACTTCCCCTTTCCCGGATGCCGGGTGTCATTCTTGGTATCTGTACGGAGGGACTCTGCACAGTCCCACTTCCCCTGTCCCGGATGCCGGGTGTCATTCTTGGTATCTGTACGGAGGGACTCTGCTCAGTCCCACTTCCCCTGTCCCGGATGCCGGGTGTCATTCTTGGTATCTGTACGGAGGGACTCTGCACAGTCCCACTTCCCCTGTCCCGGATGCCGGGTGTGTCATTCTTGGTATCTGTACGGAGGGACTCTGCACAGTCCCACTTCCCCTGTCCCGGATGCCGGGTGTCATTCTTGGTATCTGTACGGAGGGACTCTGCTCAGTCCAGTCCACTTCCCCTGTCCCGGATGCCGGGTGTCATTCTTGGTATCTGTACGGAGGGACTCTGCACAGTCCCACTTCCCCTGTCCCGGATGCCGGGTGTCATTCTTGGTATCTGTACGGAGGGACTCTGCTCAGTCCCACTTCCCCTGTCCCGGATGCCGGGTGTCATTCTTGGTATCTGTACGGAGGGACTCTGCACAGTCCCACTTCCCCTGTCCCGGATGCCGGGTGTCATTCTTGGTATCTGTACGGAGGGACTCTGCTCAGTCCCACTTCCCCTGTCCCGGATGCCGGGTGTCATTCTTGGTATCTGTACGGAGGGACTCTGCACAGTCCCACTTCCCCTGTCCCGGATGCCGGGTGTCATTCTTGGTATCTGTACGGAGGGACTCTGCACAGTCCCACTTCCCCTGTCCCGGATGCCGGGTGTCATTCTTGGTATCTGTACGGAGGGACTCTGCTCAGTCCCACTTCCCCTGTCCCGGATGCCGGGTGTCATTCTCGGTATCTGTACGGAGGGACTCTGTACAGTCCCACTTCCCCCTGTCCCGGATGCCGGGTGTCATTCTTGGTATCTGTACGGAGGGACTCTGCACAGTCCCACTTCAGCACAGACATTATAATACAGAATATCTAATATTACAGCCCAGCGCTCCAACAAAGAATTGTGGTGTAATGTCGCCATCTATGGGCCAGAATCTAGAATTTCCATGTAATGGTCCAAGCCAGGAAATGCTGAAGTGCTCACTATAATGATCATCCTGTAAATAAAAATCAAAAAATGTGGTGCTACTCGTAGAACTTAAAAAATACTAATCAAAAATTTTTTTTTTAAAATATATATAACACATACAATACACCTCGTGAGATGAATATACATATAATAATCAAGTGGTCATAGTGATCAAAAAATATATATTAAAACTAATATCATAAAAAACATAGTGTATAAATACTGTGTATTAACAATCTTTGTGAAAAATTCTAACACATGAAAGCAATAAATGATTGTAATGATAAACTGTGATCAATCATGCAAATAAGGTGCAAAAAATGTCACGCTAAAACACAAACAAAAATAAAAAATGTGTAGACAAATGTCCAATGGGTGGGTGACACCACTACTGCAATTGCAAGCACACGTGATCATAAAGTGACTCCCAGGAGCAGAAACTCCAACACACGGCTAGATTAGCCTCTCACCTCCAGGCTTCGACCCGTGAAGGTCAAAGCGTATAGTGGGATCAAACCCTCAAATCCTCTCAGCATCTACTGATATCCACTGATCCACTTTCCCCATCCATAGATATCCTTCTCTAGGGGTCGATGATCAAGCAGTATCTCCTCTTATGGGGTATGAGTATGTGCCAAAAAAATAAACACAATCTCCCATAGTGTAGCAGGTAAATTTAATGAAAATCAAACCATAAACATATGGAAACAACTCACATCCGTCCTCAAAGATGACAGCTTTACAACCCTTTGCTTTTGGGTGTAATCTGCATGGGTGTACAGGAAAAGGAATCAAAAAAGGTGCACCAAGATGGCCACCACGCCGGAAGTGCGTCACCACGTCAGGCCGACGCGTTGAGTCACAATATCATGTGACTTCCTCAGGGAGCCCTGAGGAAGTCACATGATATTGTGACGCAACGCGTCGGCCTGACGTGGTGACGCACTTCCGGCGTGGTGGCCATCTTGGTGCACCTTTTTTGATTTTTATTTCTTTAGATCATAGGTATTTGATGTAGTGTTGGCGGCTTCTCTCTTTAGTTGATTGAATACAATTTTTTTTGGTGTTTAGTAGTGTGGGAGGTTCACACCATCCCTGTTAGCTCATATTATTTTTTATATTCAGTAACGCAGGAGGTTCACACCATTCTTGTTAATGATCATCCTGTACATCTCCAGAAACCTTCCAGATATCACCTCCTCCTCCTGCATGACGTGTAAGACCCCCATTTCTCCTCCCTCTCCAGACACACCATCCTTTTCTGCTCTATATATTTAGGTGTCCCATTTTTGAAAGACATTTCCATACATGTAAAGTATGTAAAATCCAGAAAGTATACACAGAGCACCCAGAAAGTATTCCCGTTCATACAGAGCACCCAGAGAAGAAGTATTCCCGGTATATACAGAGCATCCAGAAAGTATTCCCGGTATATACAGAGCGTCCAGAAAGTATTCCCGTATATACAGAGCATCCAGAAAGTATTCCCGTATATACAGAGCATCCAGAAAGTATTCCCGGTATATACAGAGCACCCAGAAAGTATTCCCGGTATATACAGAGCGTCCAGAAAGTATTCCCGGTATATACAGAGCATCCAGAAAGTATTCCCGGTATATACAAGCATCCACTGAACGTATTCCACAGGTGGACTCCAATCACTGAATGTCAGACAGGTGGACTCCAATCACTGAATGTCCCACATGTGGACTCCAATCACTGAATGTCCCACAGGAGGACTCCAATCAGCACTGAATGTCCCACAGGTATGGACTCCAATCACTGAATGTCCCACACGTGGACTCCAATCACTGAATGTCCCACATGTGGACTCCAATCACTGAATGTCCCACATGTGGACTCCAATCACTGAATGTCCCACATGTGGACTCCAATCACTGAATGTCTCACAGGTGGACTCCAATCCCCCTGAATGTCCCACAGGTGGACTCCAATCACTGAATGTCCCACAGGAGGACTCCAATCACTGAATGTCCCACAGGTGGACTCCAATCAACTGAATGTCCCACAGGTGGACTCCAATCACTGAAAGTCCCACAGGTGGACTCCAATCACTGAATGTCCCACATGTGGACTCCAATCACTGAATGTCCCACAGTGGACTCCAATCACTGAATGTCCCACAGGTGGACTCCAATCCACTGAATGTCCCACAGGTGGACTCCAATCACTGAACGTCCCACAGGTGGACTCCAATCACTAAACGTCCCACGGGTGGACTCCAATCACTGAACGTCCCACTGGAGGACTCCAATCACTGAACGTCCCACAGGTGGGACTCCAATCACTGAACGTCCCACAGGTGGACTCCAATCCACTGAATGTCCCACATGTGGACTCCAATCACTGAATGTCCCACAGGTGGACTCCAATCACTGAACGTCCCACAGGTAAACTCCAATCACTGAATGTCCCACAGGTGGACTCCAATCACTGAACGTCCCACAGGTGGACTCCAATCACTGAATGTCCCACAGGTGGACTCCAATCAACTGAATGTCCTACATGTGGACTCCAATCAACTGAATGTCCCACAGGAGGACTCCAATCAAGTTGTGGAAACATCTGAGGGATGATAAGTGGGATCAGGATGCACCAGAGCTCAATGCTGAGTGTCATGGTAAAGGCCGGGGAATACTCATGTACATGGGGGGCTGGGAATACTTATGTACATGGGGGGGGCTGGAATACTTATGTACATGGGGGGGGCTGGAATTACTTATGTACAGGGGGGGGGCTGGGAATACTTATGTACATGGGGGGACTGGGAATGGGAGCGGATATAGTGAATGCGGGGTCCCGGGGAGAGAAAGCGGGGTCCGGGGATATAGTGAATGCGGGGTCCGGGGAGAGCGGATATAGTGAATGCAGGGTCCGGGGAGAGCGGATATAGTGAATGCGGGGTCCGGGGAGAGCGGATATAGTGAATGCGGGGTCCGGGGAGAGCGGATATAGTGAATGCGGGGTCCGGGGAGAGCGGATATAGTGAATGCGGGGTCCGGGGAGAGCGGGGGATATATAGTGAATGCGGGGTCCGGGGAGAGCGGATATAGTGAATGCGGGGTCCGGGGAGAGCGGATATAGTGGGGTCCGGGAGAGCGGATATAGTGAATGCGGGGTCCGGGGAGAGCGGATATAGTGAATGCGGGGTCCGGGGAGAGCGGATATAGTGAATGCGGGGTCCGGGGAGAGCGGAGAGCGGATATAGTGAATGCGGGGTCCGGGGAGAGCGGATACAGTGAATGCGGGGTCCGGGGAGAGCGGATATAGTGAATGCAGGGTCCGGGGAGAGCGGATATAGTGAATGCGGGGTCCGGGGAGAGCGGATATAGTTCGGGGAGAGACTGTGCAAAATTGTGTATATATGTGATTTGCATTTCCAGGCAGGGGGTGTCCGTAAATTTCATTTGGGTGCAGCATTGCATGAAATTATTTTTTCCCTTCTCTGTCTGTATGAAGTGACATGGTGTCTCTTTGTATAATCAAATTGCAATAAAAAAAAAATAAATTAAAAAAAAATTCAATTCTCACGGCCATCTTGTGGTCATGAAGAAAACTACCACCACTTGAACTTTACAATGATTTTTATAGCTTTGCTCTTTATTTTTTTCATTTTACTTTATTCATTTTTAAATTTATTCATTTTTAAATTGGTTTACTTCATTTGTTTCCCTTCTCTGTCTGTATGAAGTGACATGCTGCCTCTTTGTATAATCAAATTGCAATAAATTAAAAATAAAATAATATAAATAAAAGTAAATAAATAAAATAAAATTCTCACTGCCATCTTGTGGCCATTAAGAAAACTACCAGCACTTGAACTTCACAATGATTTGTATAGCTCTTTGCTCTTTATTTTTTTCGTTTTACTGTCACAAGAAGTGAACTTATTTTTAGCTGGATATAATTATTGTTACAGAATATATTTTATATATATTTATATATAGTACCTTGATTGACATAGGAAGGAACAGGAATTCATAAAACTATGAAATTCAATCAGGAGGAGTGACATCACAGGCACAGAAACCTGCTGTATATAGCTAAAGGAGGGAAAAATTGGCACGCCAGGAGCAGCTGGTGATCAAGACCATATGAGGGAGTCTACCGGATTCTAGATACTTTCCAGATTGGCAGATGACATCAGGAAATATACACAAACGCTCATTTAATTGCGTGTTCTGGTGAGTGCGCATTCTTTTCGCACTTAATATCACAGCACCTGACCCATAGGAGGATACAGTTACATTGGAGCACCTCGAGTCACCTAATGATCTGTATATTTAATGGTGTAAATACCTTTCAATACTCATATTGTGATTTCCTTGTAGTGCTGCACTCCCTATTTACATTGTCTGTTTAGAGGTTTTTTATGGTTTCCTGGTGCACAGCTGCTCTATTCTTTGTGTGCGCTCACATATATTTATTTTATTTACAGAATATATTTTATATTTGCCTTTTAAATCCAGTGCAGGCCTCATACATTTATATAAAAACTTTCAAGCTTAGGAACACTTACACCCCATTCCAAATTATTCTGCAAATTCTATTTGTCACAAAGATGAAATATTCTGTTTTTCAGTGTAACTCATGGATGGCATTGTGTGTCAGGGCTCTTTTGATCACTGAAAACAATCTGGGACACCTGTGATCATTAGATTGGCCGGGGAGCCCAATTGAAGGAAAAACTACTAAAGGACGGCTTTCCACATTATTAGGCAGAGCACCATTTTCCAGCAATATGGGGAAGAAAAAGGATCTCTCTGCTGCCGAAAAGAGTGAAATAGTTCGATGCCTTGGACGAGGGATGAAAACATTCGATATTTCAGGAAAACGTAAGCGTGATCATCGCACTATGAAGAGATTTGTGGCGGATTCAGAGCACAGACGGGTTGGTGCAGATAAAGGCACATTGAGGAAGATTTCTGCCAGATCCGTGCATCAGATCAAGAGAGCAGCTGCTAAAATCCCATTACATAGCAGCAAACAGATATTTGAAGCTGCTGGTGCCTCTGGAGTCCCACGGACATCAAGGTGTAGAGTCCTCCAGAGTCTGCAACTGTGCAGAAACCTTCTATTCGGCCACCACTAACCAATGCTCACAAGCAGAAACGGCTGCATTGGGCAGAAAATACATGAAGACTCATTTTCAAGCAGTCCTGTTCACTGATGAGTGCCGTGCAACCCTGGATGGTCCAGATGGATGGAGTAGTGGATGGTTGGTGGACGGCCACCCTGTTCCAACAATGCTGCGACGTCAGCAAGGCGGTGGTGGAGTCATGTTTTGGGCTGGAATCATGGGAACAGAGCTGGTCGGCCCCTTTAGGGTCCCCGAAGGTGTAAAGATGACCTCTGCAAAGTATGTGGAGTTTCTGACTGACCACTTTCTTCCCTGGTACAGAAGGAAGAACTATGCTTTCCGTAATAAAATCATCTTCATGCATGACAATGCACCATCTCATGTTGCAAAGAATACCTCTGCATCAATGGCTGCTATGGGGATAAAAGGAGAGAAAGTCATGGTGTGGCCTCCATCCTCCCCTGACCTCAATCCTATTGAGAACCTTTGGAGCATCCTCAAGCAAAAGATCTATGAGGGTGGGAGGCAGTTTACATCCAAACAGCAGCTCTGGGAGGCTATTCTGACATCTTGCAAACAAATTCAAGCAGAAACTGTCCAAAAACTCCCAAGTTCAATGGATGCCAGACTTGTGATCTGCTATCAGATAAGGGCTCCTATGTTACAATGTAACGTGACCGCTTCAAATGTTTACAAAGTTACAATGTTGGGAAAAGTTTGATTGAAAGCTTTTGATTTCAGTAAATTTGCTGCAAACACAACAAATGACAATTTTCAGTTCTTTACAACCTAGAAAGTGTTCTGAAACTTCCTGTGCGGAATAATCCGGAACACAAATCCTGTTATCATTAGGAGGTTTGTTCAATAAAATGTGAATTGTCCTCTTCTAGTTGTCACCTGAGAATTCTGCCGACTGTTATTTACATCAATTATTGAGGGAAATGAGAAAATATCATCTGCAGAATAATTTGGAACACAGTGTATGCGTACAATTCCTTTTACACAATTCTAATTTATTTGTTTTACATTTGTTTAGTTAATATTTTTTTTCCTTCTCTGTCTGTATGAATTGACATGTTGCCTCTTTGTATAATGAAATTGCAATAAAATAAAAATAAAATAATATAATTTAAATAAAAATAAATAAATAAAAATAAATAATTAAAATAAATATAAATAAAAATAAATAAAATAAAATTATCACGGCCATCTTGTGGTCATTAAGAAAACTACCACCGCTTGAACTTTCAATTATTTTATAGCTTTGCTCTTTATTTAATTTAGTTTTACTTTATTAACTTTTAAATGTATTCATTTGTAAATTGTTTTACTTTATTTTTTTTCCCTTCTCTGTCTATATGAATTGACATGCTGCCTCTTTGTATAATCAAATATACAATAATAAATAAAATACAAAATAAAATACAATAAAGCCAACACAGCCATCTTGTGGGCATTAAGAAAACTGCCACCACTTGAACTTTACAATTATTTTTACAGCTTTGCTGCTTATTTTATTTTATTTTTTCATTTTACTCTCACAAGCAGGGAAGTTAATTTTTACCCGTATATTTTTAAGATAACAAAATATACTTTATATTTGCCTATTAACCTCCCTGGCGGTATTCCTGAGTGTAGCTCGGGGTAAAGTTTCAGTACCACAAGCGATAACACCCAGCTACACTCGGGCTTACCATGCGGCGTTGCATAGGGAGTCCCTGCAGAGCTTACCTTGTCCTTCGCTCCCGCGATGTGTCCCCTGCAGAGTCCCCGGCCATCTCCTCCGGCTTCCGTGTTCCGGTCCCTGTGACGTCGGGACGTACGGGCGCCAGAACCGGCGGCAAATTTGACATTTTTAAAAAATTTCATTTTTTTAAAAATGACTATTACATAGTAAAACATTGCTGTATCAAACCATTTCACATACATTGTGTCCCGAGTGCTTTGTCCGGCGCCCCGCCTGCATTTTTACTGTTCTTTCTGCCTGGAAACTGAGAAACGTCCATGGCGTCCAAAAAGCGTCCCTTTAGGTCAGACGCGGTTTTAGACCGGCTAGAGAACAGCGATAGTAAATCAGAACCACTTGCAGAATTGAGTGATAATGATTGGTGGGGGAAATTCCTCATCAGACACTGAAAACGATTCTGCAACTTTGCTCAGCGATGTGCCAACTTGGCGCTCTATTTCACATTTCAGTGTTTTTGGTTTGATTATATTATTGAATTAAATTTATTATTATTATATTATTATTTTTTATGATTATTTATTAAATTATAATTTATGATTTTGTGTTTCAAATTTTATCATCCCCGGGATGTTTACCAGACTCTTGTTCAGACAGATTTCAGTGAGTTATTCCTAAAAATTACAGCCTACAATAAAAAAAAATACATATTTCCATGCAAAAAAATGGTACCGCTTTCAGCACCAAAAATCGGAAATAATCATATCGCCGAGGAG